TCTTCTTCTTCTTCTTCTTCTTCTTCTTCTTCTTCTTCTTCTTCTTCCTCCTCCTCCTCCTCCTCCTCCTCCTCCTCCTCCTCCTCCTCCTCCTCCTCCTCATTCCTCTTCCTCTTCTTCTTACGTGTCACTTGTCATTTTTCCCTAGAAATTTTTTCCAACCAAACCCTATCCAGGTTGCCAGCAATTGAAAGAGAAAACAACCCCCCGTGGTGTTATTTTTAAGGAAGAGGAGAAATTTTACCCAATTTCTTTTTAGAAGTTGTTCTGAAATGAGCTAATCTCCACCACGTTGTTTGGTGAAGAAGAAGGGATCCGTTTGCAGCTTCTCGGGCTGTAAAAGGAAGCCCTGTGTTAGCCAGCTCCTTCCTTGTTAACAGCATTCAGAAATGGCATCGCTGGGGATCTTTCTCTGTAGTTGTAGCAGCTTTCTTTTCCTCACTGCAGAATCCAGAAAACGAGGAGTGTCAGACTGTTTTCTTTTCATTGCTTATTTTATGGTTCTCCTGTATTTGTCAGTTTTAATAACATCTTCCCTATGAAAGAAAAATAAACGCAGCTATTGATGTTCAGGACAATCATGCCCAATTATAGCATCTCTCCGTTTGAGGCTATTTCTGCCCTGGCGTTTTCCCATTCCTTTATTTTGTATGTGGGAGATGCTTCAATGCAGTGTGTGAAAACAAGTTAATAGAAAGGCTCTGACAGAGTCAGACCCGCCCTATTCCTTTGATTGGAGGATGTTTTCATCGCTGTCTGAGAAAACACTGAAAAGAGACAAGAGCAAAGCCAGAGGAGAAAACCAATCACCTTGCCTCTAATGAACCATAGACTCATAGGCCAGGCCAACGTGATTCAGCAGTGATTCAGAAAAAAACACAGTACATACAGAACTAGAATAGATGGTGGAGATGGCCAGGTTTAAGGTGGCATTATTTCATGCAAGAATGATTCCTTTAAAATTGATAATAAAGTTATAGGGTGATATTCCTTTTAAGTTGACAATAAGACAGCCAGCGGACACTCTTGTTTAATCCCACTCACTGCCTTGCTCCTTCTAATCTGAATTAAAAAAAAATATTACTGAAAACTTTAAAAAAACTTCTATCTGGCAAAGAGACAGTTTTAGACAGAAAAGAGGCTGCCCTCTTTTCCTTGCAATGTCTGCCTGCCTGCCTGCCTGCCTGCCTGCCTGCCTGCCTGCCTACCTACCTACCTACCTACCTACCTATCTATCTATCTATCTATCTATCTATCTATCTATCTATCTATCTATCTATCTATCTATCTAATATGTATATGTATATTTCTGTAGCCCATCAAGCTTGCAATAAAAAGAGGGTGGCACCAAAGACCAGAGTTTTTCTGCCAGCCAGTTTCATAAGAAAAATTAAATAAACTAGGCAACTGGAAACGAATGGAAGGTCATTCAGACTGTGGAGAAAAAGGAAAATACAAACACTTGAGAAAAGTGTCTAGGGCAGCAGCCTAAGAGAGGGGAAGAAGTACCAGTTAAAGCAAGTTAGAGGGAAAGAGAGAGCAAAACCAGACAAATGTGCACTTCTAGACATAAAAAAGAGAAAATTTTCACAGTGGTCAAGCCAGAATTTTTCCTTGAAATTCCAACTGTTGGGAGACTCCTGAGCTAGAATGGACTGAATGTGATAATGGATGTCCCAATAACAATTCTCGCTTGTACATAACAAAGTTATGAGCCAAGGTGGCACAGTGGTTAGAATGCAGTATAATGCAGGCTCTTTCTGCTGACTGCTGACTGCCTGCAGTTTGGCAGTTCGATGCTCACCGGCTCAAGGTTGACTCAGCCTTCCATCCTTCTGAGGTGGGTAAAATGAGGATCCAGATTGTTTGGGGCAATACGCTGACTCTGTAAACCGCTTAGAGGGGGCTATATAGCATTGTGAAGTGGTATATAAGTCTGTGTTATTGTTATTACGTTTCTGAAAAGCACACAGGTACAAAAGGACATTCACTTACAAGATAGACTGTACGAATCATTGGGTATGTGGCTCTGGAGAGGAATCTTATTTGTTTGTCCACCCCTTTTTTTTCACCAGATGGCCTGTGAATACCTTTCATGGGAGGTTCTCGAGCGATGGATTGTAAGTAAGTTACCATCACTTTAATTTTAAGTTCCAGCCTGGATCCTAAGCCTAGAGGAGAGATAGGCAACTTTTGAGGCACATTCATCATTGTTAGAAAGCAATAGCAAGGCAGCCATTTGGTGTGGCATACCAATCACAAACTGCTTCTGCACTGGGAGTGTAGCCAGTAACAACACATTGAAAACACTCTGCTCTCAACTTTCCTCTGGCTTTTTCTTTCTGTTGTCGTCATTGGGTAAGAACAGGATGCAAACATATAGAGGAACAAGCCCATGTGAAAATCTGCGCAGATACAGCAAGAGGGACGAAAGGGAATTAACAGACAGTGAAGTAACAGAGAGAGGAAATAGGATGGAGGGGGAGAGACAGTATGGGACAGACAAAAGAGTACATGCAAGCCAACTTCTCTCTTTTTATTCTACTTGTTGGACAAATTATTATTGCTATTATTACTGTTTATACATAGCCTATAAAATAATTCCAGCTGGATTTAGTATGTGGATGAAAGTTCATTCTCCAAGCAGGTTGGTTGTGGGTTGGTTTTCAAATATTTCATTACCAGGCTAGGTAACATTTTAAGTGAAATTTAGGGGCCGACAATGTTCTTCTGTTTATTCTGTTTCTTCAGGTGTGGGTGTGTCAAGTGAGGTTCTTGTGATGGGTCAGCTGTGAGTCATTAGTGAGAGTCTTATGACGGTCTGGTGATAGTGCTTTTAGTATTTGTACTTTTTACTTTATTTTTAGGATTTAGTACTTTTGATTACTGAATCCTCCTAAAGAACTATGATATTTAATGATACTATTGTATTATATGCACTGTCCCAAGTATTGCAATGTTGAAAAGTTTCCCTTCGTATTTTGTCCAAGTGCATTATTATTATTATTATTATTTGGGTTTTTTTGTTTGTATAAACAAGGAATAAAATCAAAATTCCTCTTTTCTCCAAACTCAGCTCAGGGTTCTGAAAATCCATAACTCATCACAGACTTTTAAGAGGAAAACACTTCCAAAACTGAATGTTATTAGGAAGAGGTAAAATTTTCCTCCTGACAAGAATCGTTTTTGCACTTTTTAGCCAGTTTTTACACACAGGATCACTCTTCCCTCACTTCCTATGAAAATAGGAAAATATTCCTCCGTTTTCTTAGCTCGGGTGGATTTTCTTGTCTAGCATCACATTTGGCAAAATTATGCTCCATGCATTTTCACTTCAAAGAAGATGTAAAGATTTGCTGCTCTTTGTTGATGCTTTGACTTAACTTGCCCTGTTCATTTATGTTCCCAGCAACTTTTGGACCCCTGCTGGCAACTCTTCAAAGCTCTAAAGGTTTGCATTTCCTTTCCCCGCCTTCCTCAGTAACATTTTTTTTTCCCCCTGCAGTGGGGTTCTTGCTTTGCCACAGTTGCCTGGGCTCCACCCAGAACTGCCTGGAACTTTGGCGGATGGCTCTTCGTGGCTCACTCTACATCACACTGATACGAGATGAAGTGCTTTCTATTCACAAGGTGACAGAAGAGGCCTTTAGTGGCATTAAAGGGTAAGTAATGTGCTGAAGTGTGTAAGGGCTCGAGGGGTAATGATCCTGCACTGGTTAGACTAGGCTAATATCCGTTTCCACCACTGGGGAAGAGAAAACAGATTCCAAGGATGTAAGAGAAGTTGGTCATTTCAGGAATTAAAAAAAAAAACTTGTGATATCCTCTTCTCCACCTGTTTTATACCAGTAATAATTGGTCCTTCTTGCTGCAATCTAATCTGGTGTGTTCCAGAATTGTTGGGAATTCAGATCACTGAATTTCCAATCAGCATGGTCCAAGTAGAAGGATGCCAGATAGGATAAGATCATCTTACTTTTCTGGCTCTGTCTGGATTAGGCTGCTTGTAGAATTATTATCAAATTTCATTTAAAAGTATAGAGTTTCCAAATTACCGGAAGTGGTGGTTTCATTCTAGAAATGTGCAGTAATCAGATCCAAGGTGTTTTGGATCCTCTATAGACACCCTTCCTGTATCTTAAAGGAGCTCCTGACAAGTACCATGTGAGTGCCTACTTGATACACGCACCTCTTTTTCACTCTGTGCTCAATTGATCAGATTACCATCTTAAATACTGTTCCAGCTACTACATTTTAAGAGGTATTCAGATAAACTGAGCATCCAAAGAAAACAGTAAGGATGTTCAGATGACTGGAAATGAACTCTTCCAAGGAGAGGTTGAGAGAAGATCCTTCAGGAAATAAAAAAAAAACACCTGCTGGTGTATGTGGCAAAGTAGATTCTTAGGAAGTTTCTTTTAACATTCAACAGAGTTTGAATTAGATTCCCAGCAGGGAGTTGTACTCAAGGATCCCACTCACTTTTGAACTTACTAATTTTATGACTTGACCTGTATTAATAAATAATCAGTAATACCTCTCCAAGGATTTGGTTTGTGGCTTCCTATGACTTCCTTTCAAAATCCTGATTCCAGGGACTAAACTAAACATCTTCTATAAGTAAAACTCTTCTTGCTGGACTTCTGCTTCACTGAACAGTGGCTTTATTTAGAGCAGGGATTCTTAAATTGTGACTCATGCCCCTTCAACGTCCATGAGCAAATTTGAAGGAGTCATTAATGTGGAGGCTTATATTCACAAAAAGCAGGAACAAGGTCAGAATTTGTTCCTGGTATCTCTGGGTTCGCTCAAGCCAAGCAAGCAGCAACGCCCACAGCTGGATTTGAGGGAGGGATAATCCCATAGGCTTAACTGTCTGTCAAAATCACCCACCAATCACAGCAGCACTGTGACTGAGATATAGTTTCTTGCTGGCTGATGACTCTTGATGTGGCACCTAGCATGTTGACAATTTCTGTAGAAGTAAAGTTCTTGTTAACAAATTTCAGTATTTCTGCTCATTACTTTGGATTCTAACCTTTAAGAAGAGAAAGACCTTTTGTTGGATGGTAAAAGAAAAGATGAAGCAATGGTGATCAAAGTAAGCTTAAATCAAAAAAAGTGTGAAGTAACTTGCATACCTTTGGGATTGACAAGGGGGTTTGTTATTAGAGAAGAATGTTATCAGTATGTAACTTGTCAGAAAAAAAAACCCTGTCAGATGAGAGTATGAAGCCAAGCAAAACCTGGAAACAAATCAAGCTGTGAAAAAAACTTGAGATTTTTCCATTCAAAGGAAGATGAACTGAAGAAAAAAAATAATACTTCAATATATGGCCATCCTTGTAAAATTGCTTCTCATCATATTGTACACAGACTCACCCAAGGGAAAAAAATCTACATACAATTGGAGAAAATTGTTTGGCAATTGTCAATATAGTTGACAATTCTGGCAATTTGGTCACAGCTATATTGGGCATCTAGTGTCAAACAGTAGGAATTGTCTCCCCATTAGATGACACCATTTCCCATCAAACTACTGAGAGGGTGGAAGATATAAATGATCAACTAAAGGAAAAACGAAGTAGACCATTTGCTCATCAGACCAATGAAGTGACAGATAGGGCAAAGGATGCTATGTTAGAAAGGTTTTTGAAACCAAAATAAATGAAAATTTACTTCCAAGTAAAGAAGTGATAAAGATGAGTAAAACTAAGGGCCTTTTTTTTTTGAAGATTTGGGTAACTGTATCAATCAAATCACTTAAAGTGGACAAATTGCATCGTGAGATGCACTGATGGGTCATATTCCATATCACAATGTCATAGAATTTTTTTATATGCCAGAATCTCATAGTTGAATTAGATGTAGGCAAGGTCTTGCTTTAGAAGAGTAAAGTCCAACAATTCAGGAAGTTTTACAAACTATTACGTGAATTGACCTATAAAGATTGTGTGAAGAGATGGCTGACAAATACATGTTTTCACTGTTTTATAGTGAGTCAAGATGTTTGACACCCATTTTCAAATGGAGAAATGAACTCTATGAAAAGACATACTTGTTTATCAACTGTGATTTCAGTATTTATTTAGTATACGTTTGACAAGCTAGAGATTTTTAAGACCTTGTTGAAAAGTGATAATTTCCTTGAACCTTGTGACAAATAAAAATAATGAATTTAAACTGGGAAAGAGTAAAACTGAATATTTAGACATGTTTTTTGCTTTGAAACTATTGGAAGCGGTAATATAGATTAGTAAATATGTTTTATATTTAATTCATCTTTATTTGAAATACACTTTCAGAACAAATTCTCATGTGCAACAAATCAAAATATAACTGGATATTACTATTCCTGATAAGGATTTCTTTGAAAATAATTCCTAATAATTTCTCTTCCTGAATTACTAATCAGTATGTAAAAAGGCATACAAAGAATTAAGTGAGACAGCTATAATCATTCTGATTCAATTTGCAATACCTTGTTTTTGAGAGGCAGATATTTTCCATTTTGCTTCTATGAAAACCATACATCATTCCAAAATAAATGTAGAAGGAATAATGCAAGCAGCTGTCTCAAAAAAAACCAACTATACTTCAAAAATAACGTAAAATTAATCAAGCTTATTCTTCTCATGAAAAATATGCTTTTAAATGAGTTTCTTGGTTGGAAATGAAGTTTTTTTTAAAAAAAACATTGCAGCATCTATCATTTTTGTATAATATGGGGATTAAAATTTAATGATTAAAAGTAAGCTATACAATTATTACTTGACCAACTGTTGTCCCAATGAATTCATTAGTTTTTAAGGGGACATACAATAATCAAGTATAATATGAAGGATTACACTTCAAGATTTGAGAAATTCTAGTTTTGGAGAACAAAGAAATGGATGAGTTGTGGTGGAATGTAGTCTGGATTCCAGGAAGGAAGGGCTGTTTTCAAGAGGGCAAAGAGGTAGTGGAGCTTAGAAAATTTGGTTGGCAGGAAGAGGGTTAAAACAGCTCCACCCTAGTGTTCCCCATAATATATCTATTGTTATGTAAATAGTTACTTTAGTCTGGCAAGATTCTGTCTATAGGTAAAGAAAACTGAGTAAAGGAAACTGAGCCTCTTCTTGGTGCCTGACAAATGTTCTTTCTCTCTCTTTACAGCTATGGGAAACGTATCACTGATATTAAAGATTGTAAAGAGCATGCTCTACAACAAAGGTAGGAATGTCCCTTCCTTTTCTGGCTCTGGGCTTCTCTCTGCGGTTTACTGTATATCCATTGCTCTTCTTTATTTGCTTTATTTACTTGTTTTCCTTTTAGTCTCATCAGTCTTCAACTTTCCCTTCTGTCTGCCACCACCCTCCCAGACTCATTTAACCAGAGTTTTCATGATACTGTTTTTTGTCATATTGCTCCGCAAACATCTTGGCCCTCTTACCTTGTATGTTGGACATTCTCTTCTGTGGTTGCAGTCCTATCTATGACATGGTGTGAGCTTCTTAATCCGTTTGATGCTTATAGATTATGCTAAGTTGTGTTTTGCTTTAGTGGTGCTTGTTTGTACATTACCTTGAGCCAGTCCGTAAAGTGTGTGTGTGTGTGTGTGTGTCCGTAAAGTGTGTGTGTGTGTGTGTGTGTGTGTGTGTGTGTCTATAGCGCTTATAAGCAGTATCCTGAATAATGGGAATTGAGCTTCTTATAATCTTCTCAGCTGTCCTCACCACTCTCTGTATGGACTTTCTATCTGAGGCACTGCTGCCAACAAACCAAACGATGCAATTTGTTAAAACGCTCTCAGTTGTGCTTCTGTAAAAAATGGCCAGGACTGAAGGAGAAAGATATGCTCTCCTCATCCAACACAGGAAATGCAGACACTGGTTTGCACACTTCATCAAGTGTGGAGAGACCAATTCGGATTGTTAGTTATCCTGACTTGCTGTATGATCCCAGCCAATAGAATGAACTTCTAAGCTCATGGTTAGAATTATGTTTGAAACCTGACATGTTGATAATGGTAGATAAGTAGCAACTATTCTGCTTCTTTCCTCTACCCCCATCTGTTGTGCATCACAACTATCAACTTAGCTATCTCATCCTATTGTGAGAGAGGAAGAGGTCAGGTTCAAGGGGAGCATGCCTCTGTGTGCCAGATGTGATGGAATAGCTGTGGGGAAAGATGGTTGTCTTCATATCTGGAACCCAGAGGCATCTTTTTTGATCATGGAGAGGGACAGTTTTCTGGCCTAGATAGGTCTTTTGTCTTATTCAATGCAGTTTTAATGAACCATAACAACCCGAAAGGCAAGGATGGAAGGAGCTGCCACAGAGTTCCTGCTGCTACTTCTCTCACTTTGACTGTAGATTTAAATGACATTATCCAGTTGGTAGCTCTGCAGTGTTACCCAGTTCTGCAGTCTTTTCTCCATTGTAACTGCAGATGCTCCTGGCATTACTTTTTATAGAAGTACCGATTAAATACTGCCTTGATTGTCAAAAGATAAAGGGAGGTTGCATTTTTAATTTTAATTGGTGAGTGCTGAGATAATTTTTACTGCAATAGAGAGAAATCTGCAGGCCTTTAGTCATCATGGTTAGATATTGAAAATTGTAGCTCAGCAGTGGAAGGTAACAGCTCTGGTAAGTAGGAAGATTCAAATTCTGAATGAATGGGCAGAATTTCAGTGACCACAAAGCAGAAGATTAAACCTTCAAGTCAAGCTTGGCTTCTGATGTTATTGTGGAACACATCCATGTTATTTTCTCAGCAAGAATATAGAAGGGCTTGGCCATTGTTTTCTTCCCAGCCTAGCCTATAGGCTTGGTGGGCTCCCATCCAAGTAATAATGAGGCTCAACCTTCTTAGCTTTGTGAGATCAGTCAGTATTGGCCAGATGCTACCACCTAGCTGAGCAATAGATAACTAGCACACATTTGCAATACTGTTGAATATCTGTAGCTCAGGTGTAGAATGAGGGTGATTAGAAAATAGAAATCTATGTCTACCACAAACCCACACATACAGACCAAATCCTCAGCTTCTCAAGCAACCATCCCACTGCACTGCACTGCAAGAAGTTGTGTCCAGACTCTGTTCAGAAGGGCCAGGAAGCACCTCAACACTAAGAAAAGTGGAAGAGAAATGGCTGCTCTCCGTAACGGCTATCCAAAAATGTCATATTTCAACAGAGCACCCAAACCAAAATACCCCACACAGCACCAATTCTCAAACAATGCTCTCCCCCCAGCAGTTCACCTCCCAATGACTTTGACCTGATGTAATCTCCTTAACATTTGGAAACCAACCCACAAGCTTGGAGAACGAACCCTGACTCCTGAACACACATTTACTTAAGGTAAAAGGTAAAGGTTCCCCTCGCACATACGTGCTAGTCATTTCTGGCTCTACAAAGCCAAAGAGCCAGCGCTATCCAAAGACGTCTCTGCGGTCATGTGGCTGGCATGACTAAATGCCGAAGGCGCATGGAACGCTGTTACCTTCCCCCCAAAAGTGGTCCCTATTTTTCTACTTTCATTTTTTACCTGCTTTCAAACTGCTAGGTTGGCAGAAGCTGAGACAAGTAACAGGAGCTCACTCCGTTACATGGCTTTAAGGATTCGAACTGCCGAACTGCCGATCTTTCTGATCGATAGCTCAGCATCTTAGCCACTGAGCCACTGCGTCCCTTTCACATTGACTTAACTTGATCTAAAGAGGAATGGATTCCTGTTTTAGCTAACCCAGTATTACAATCTTTTATTGATGTTGCTTGCTTTGGCCTTTAAAAAAAGTTTTCTGATGTTGATGACATGCAGGCAGGGTGCTGGGAGGGGTGGAATTCTTTTCATATGAATTCTTTGGCTGGTTTCTTGACAGTGGACAATTACATCGAGGCCGGCGTAATTTCTTGAGGAATGCTGTGCGGGAGATGGAGGCTATTCTGGCCAATGAACCTGGACTGCTGGGCCCCAAGGCAAGTCGGTCAGAGAGATATAGAGGTGGGCAAGAACTAAGAGCTGTGAAGGTGCAAGTAAATTTATTTATGCTGTGTGTGAGCAGTTACAGCTGGGCCAATGCAGACGCAAGAGGGATTTGGGTACATAAAATGCCCACAGGGCTCTATATGTGAGAAGGATGAACCCAGAGCAAGTGCAAATTACAACCATTTGTATAGTGAGTGTTCAAATTTACAATAACACTACAAAAAAAAGCAACAACAACCCTGCTCCATCACAGCATCCCATGGTCACATGATCAGAATTAACAATTGGCATATGTTTACAACAACTGCAGTGTCCTGGGATCAAAGGATTGCTATTTGCAGCTTTTCCAGTCAGCTTCTGGCAAACAAAGTCAATGGGGAAAGCTTAACAGTCAAACAATTCACTTTACATTGCAGTGATTTTCATAACAAGCCTGGCAAAGAAGGTCTTAAAATCAGGTACAGTTGTGGTCATAAGTTGAGGACTATATTCATACACCCGCATTGGCTTACTAGTTCTTGATTTGATGTGCCAAGGTCTCTGTCTCTAATAATGGCTCATGTTTTGTCTGTAACTGATGCTCAGTTAACAGGGCCTCCGTGGAATGGAAACACATTTTAAAAAGAGGAGGCTTTTGTGCTGTCAGTGTTTGATGTTTTTACACCCTTAGTGTTAACAAGCAAATGAAAATAATAATAATATTTGCCTCGGTTTCCTGGCTGAATTAACTTGATGAAATATTTGGTCAGTCTAAAGGCGTTTTTTTTCCTATTGGTGTTCTAGATGATACTTACCGAGGCAAGTTTTTCTAAACTCATTCTGCAGGAATCCTGGGTAAAATAATGAAGTGGATTAAAGAGTGCAAAAGAGCTGGAAAAGATTTCCACCCTTGCCTGTCTGCCCGTCTTTTTCTGTATTGCCCTACCTAGCTGCTTTTCTCCAGTTAACCTTTTCTGTAACCATCCTAGCAAAAAAGCTCCTCTAAGGATTATGGGAATTGGTATGAACCCTGGAAAAGCACCAGGTTAGAGAACTACTCCATGTAACAAAGCTGGTACCCAAGATAAATATCAAGGAACATACACAGTATATTCCTATCTGGTAAAGGAACATTAAAGAGGAAAGAAAGGAGTGAGTCATTAAGGGTGACCTTGAAGGAAAAATTACATAGCCCTAGGACAGAAGGAAATTTGAGAAATTCAAAATTATCTTCATTTTTTTTGGTAGTATAAACTCAAAATAATGCCATGTTGATTTTGTTTAGTATAAGATTCGCAAAATTTTGGTAAGCTTTCAGGATTTTGTTATTCTGCCTCAATGTTTCTTAAAGTGTAGTCTCAGAACTCCCACCCTACCCCCCTTTCAGGGATCTACAAAACCAAAATTATTTGTCAGTTTATGTTGAAAAACCTTATAATATAGAAGTCCAATCAAGCCCTCATGTAAAGCAGTAATGGCAGCAAATGCATAAATTGTAGTTCCAAATATGATAAATATTGATAAATGTAAACCACACAAACAAAAACTCTTTTGAGAGATCCTCCTTGATTTTTAAAATTGGGAAGAGATTCTGAAAGAAAAAATTGTTTAACAACACTGTTCTACTTTACTACAATAAAATGAGCATTGCTGGAATCTGTTGCCTACTATTTGTGTCTTACAAATATTTCTTCATTCTTTCCCTTAAAATTATTTCCTCTTCTGTCTCATATACTTGCTTTCCTCCTCCCTCCTTCCTTCCTTCATCACTTTAGTCATGAAGAAATCTTTGACATATGAAAAACTAAATGTGGCTCTTTATACTGATTTCCAGCAATTTTAATAATTGGTCTGCCGATTTCAGGCTCTTCACTTCTTTAAATGTTCTTTTTATGCTTTAAATCACTCCATTGTTTTGACCCAGAATTCACAATAGAACAGAGATTTGGGGAAGTTATTTGTACTATTGAGATATGTTTGCCTGTCTACTCTAAAATCTTTGGGGAAAATAAACATGATTTTCATATAGTGGGAATTCTACTTGGAATGAGATGCTAATTCTCTTTTGTCTGATACTTCTCCCTCTCTTTCAACATCAATAGGCAATTTATGTCTTCATGGCTCTGTCATTCTGCCGGGATGAGGTTGCCTGGCTGTGCAGACATAGTGAGCACAAAGGCAAGAACCAAGAGGAATTCACTGACAGGTATTGATCAGGTTGGGGAAGTGTCATCCAATGATTGGAAGTTTAGACATGAGGTAAACTCTAAAGTACGGCTGTTAAACTCACAGCGTCACATTGCCATCACATGATGTATCGTGACATTTTTTTACTTTTGCGGAGCTGGGGTGGGCATAGCCTGTACATGAGGCATTGCATCCAGCCTGCGGGCCACCAGTTTGACACCCCTGTTCTAAAGCTTTCAAAGTTAATGAACCTATGTGGTTCACCAGAGTTGCCAAAATGTCCTTTCCTATACCACTGTTAGAAATGCAAGCTCTAAATCTTCACAAGGGATGGAAAAGACCATTTGAGAAATCATCATTTCTTCTCTTTGGGGGATAAATGTTCACATTTCATATTGGAATGTACTTGTGTTGTGCTAAATTATGGTTTGACCAATCATCTATAAGTCCTGATCTACACATTAAAAACTTAAGTCATGGCCTACACGTTGCAGGGGTTAGAAGGCCCCATTAAACAACTGGGCAAAGAGCCTATGTAGCTTAACATGATGGCTAAACTTGTGTTGATGAGCCCTGATACTACTGCCCACTGGATTTGCAACCCAAACTCATAGAACTGTGAGTAAGCTCAATCTGCTTTTTCTCAGCATTGTTCTTACCAGCTGCAACTTGCAAACTGCAATAATGAGAAGCAGAAAGCAAAGAAAGTAATTTTTATTTTATTTATTTATTTTTATTTTTCAATTGCTTACAAGATAATAGGTATAAGTAAAAACATAGATATGAACACATGGATACATATAAGAAAAATTATATATATATTCTTAAGTTTTCACGGGTATCTATATGTATGGTATTCAGCTTTGTTCGGGTATTTTCCCACATCATTATAGTTGTGCTTTCAAAGTTGTAGCGATGTTTCGGCAGAATCTCATCTGCCATCATCAGGCTTCTGTATTGTGTTCATCTGTATTGTGTTCGTCAGACGAACACAATACAGAAGCCTGATGATGGCAGATGAGATTCTGCCGAAACGTCGCTACAACTTTAAAAGCAC